CGTGCGCTTACCCGCAGCACATTTACCCTTCAAAACCGGAACATAATAATGCTGGCATTACTGCTTGTCTGCAGAAATAGGTAAGGTGGCAGTACTACAATGGATGACCTCTTTCACAAGGAGCTCTACTGCTACCAAAAATATTAATCGTATTGAATATTATGATGATTTACTACAACGGTATCATTTATTTTTTTATCAAATTACTACAATAGTTTGTTGTAATTATTCATAGAAAGATCTTCTTCTTTGAAATGGTATGGCCCCATCGAAATAATCAATGATTTCGCCAATAATAATAAGGTTCTATAACCTGAGTCCCTGAGCCAGTGCCGGGAAATACTGCCTCTCCCATATAAAAATCCAAAATTAATCTTTTAGGCCTTGGAAGAGGCGAGAGTCTAAAATAGATAATAATAATCATTTATTTCAGACGTAACAAATCCATAGAATTACAATAATGTTAAATTAGAATTAAATATTACATATAGGTACTTAATTATTAATAACTGAAATCCAATGTCGCAGTATGCATGAGTCGCTACTACGAGCTATAATGCTTTTAGTACTATCTAGCACTCTCTGCCTAAGAGAAGAAACCCTCTTTCTAAGCACAGCAACAAACCCGTCCGTGCGTGCTAACACGAACATTTCAGATGCTCTACACTATCTTGGCAATTTAAACATAGCTCTAAATACATCGTTATATTGAACGCGGTTGGCATTGTACGCTTGTTTGGTACAGTTAACCCACAAACTACACGCATGTAGTGTCGGACAGTACGACTTAAAAAGCGTTACTTTAACTTGATCTGAACTTGAGTGCAAATCTCCTGGCCAATATATTACCACGCATTGCCAATGCCCTCCTTTCTCGCTCAATGTCATCATTATCACAATGTCAAGTAAAAATGACTATGTACGGTAGTTTTGTAAAAATAAAATAAAAACATTATGGCGGACGACGTCAATAGCAAGGCCGGTACCCATTCAAAGATCGAACACAGAGAAAAGTCCTTTATATTTGACAGGACTAGAACATGCGTCTATGTCACACCAAAAAGAAAGATCTGTAACAAACGTTTAGAAAACCCGTAAGGTCTACTGACCTCGATATGTTGCTCAGTTGGTTCAGTGATCGCCCTGGGATTTCAAGGCCTTGCAACTTAGTTTATTTATTTATTTTCATTTTTTCGCACAATACAAAAAATAACGCTCAAACTCATGACCCCGCACTAGGAAAACCCTGTATCGCGGGTGCCATGGACACACATATAGACAACAGCAAATTACACCCAAACGAAAGAAATAAATGTAGGCCATTCTCCCGGCCCGGGAATTGAACCCGGGACCACTGCGTGGCAGAGCAGCATGGTAATCGTTCAGCCACAGAGGCAGTAAGTATGGCAAAGTTAATGCCAGGACATTCTCTACCATTCAACCAGAAAAAAAGGATATGTTGTTGCTACACTTCAAATAAGAATAACAATCTTACTAACAATCCAAAATTTGATAGTGCATTAGGTAGGTATAAAATGAATTTAATGTGTATGTATGTATGTAAACACTTAATTGCACATAGCAAATTACAAATTTTAACAAAGAATTCAAAACGTTAGTGTAGAAAGGCGAACTTTTTTTTATAATGGTAGTAAGTGACGGGACGAACAAGTTGTGTGCCTGATGGTAAGCGACACGCCTATCCGCTAACAGTTGCAGTGCCATTCAGAGCCTTAAATCGCAAAGATCTGAGGGGCGCTGCCACTGCGCTTGTCACCCTGAGACGTAAGTTGACAACTCCCTGTAATTTCACCAACACCCTTACCCTTCAAAACCGGAACAGTAATGCTAACATAACTGCTTAGCAGCAGAAATATATAAGGTGGCAGTACTAACCTCGAACAAACCCTTATACGAGGAGCTCTACTGCTACTTGTCCCACAGAAGGATTTCCTCTAACCTTTCAGTTAAGCTTTGAATAATTGAATTTAATATAACTGACTTAGTTGTATTTATTGAACGAATAATCCCTCGTGTTGCAGCATTTGCTGTAGTTCACCCTCTGTCACTGGTACTGTACCATTATACACATACTTTTATCTCTCTACTTCTACCAACTTACAATGTAGTCAAACAAAATGAATATCGCTACCGTGGTATAAACCTCAGAACGATCTTCAACCAAAATGTTAACATGTTTAGGTAACTCTACTATAAGTATATTTATATCTCTCTATGTCTCTCTAGAACTATATTGAAGTATATTATAAAGAAATAAATAAATAAATACTAGACAACATCACGTACGTTGTTCCGATCCCACACTAAGTAACTAAAGGACTTGTGTTATGGAAATCGGAAACAATGACGGTACCACAAACACCCGAATCAATATAGAAAAGTTAGTTTTCTACACTAATCGGGGATCGAACCCGGGACCTCAGAGATGGCGACACCACACAGGCCGTCAAAATGTTTCATGACTTTTTATTATTTTATTCCCAGGTTTTGAAATTTTTAAGTTTTATTGATTGTCACGATGTTTAACCACCATGATATTCAATTAGTTTTTGTAAAATTACTCCACTAGTTTGTATAATTATGAACACAAAAATAGAACACTTCCCCGGTCTTGGTTTGCAAACGAAATTAACACTTATATCGACCATATAAAGTAGCTAAGGTCACTTCATAATTTAAAATGAGTTAATATACTTTTCTATACACCTAATCAACTGCATCAGTTGTTTCTGTCACTCATTATATTGGTATCAGTAAGATTCCATAAATTACATTTTATTGTTATATTTCTAGACAACTGTAGAAATTGCTCATCTCCAATTAAACTATCAGTACAGCTTCTGTGAAAGAGTTCGTCCAGGGAAGTACTGCCACCATACCTGTTTCTACCACCAAGCAGTAATATGAGCATTGCGTTCCGATTTTGGAGTATAAGGGTGCTGGTGAATTATAGGCACTTGGAACTTGTCAACTTATGTCTCAGGGTGACACTGGGACAGTGTCCCTCAGGTCTTTGCGATAAAGCTTTAAGTGGCTCTACAACTATTATGGTCAGGCGTGACGCTTACCACCAGGCGCACGACTTGTTCGTCACTTGATATCATAAAAATAATCTTATCTCCTTGCGTTTTTGGCAGTTGGTCCTAAACGAAAATATATTCCATAGATTAATAAAAAAAGACTGTCTTAACTGAAATCTCTTGACGTAATCATAATAAAATTATATTTCTTCTACAAGTCAAAGATAGAAAAATATAGACGCTTATCCTATCCTATACAATCATACCTGTAGAATCAACCCTTGATGCTTTACGTTGACATATGAAATTAACTATATAAGAACAGGCGCTTGTGGCCTTTTCCTTCAAAACAAGGAAAGATATAATATATGAAGAGTGGAATCTTTGCTTATTCAAATAAATAGGAAAATATTTATAAAAAATCAATGGTCGGTTTCTAACGTTTGGCAGAAGTTTTTGATTTTTTTTTTTATTGGGCATTGGCTTTATAGTCATCAACCTAAAAAGGTAACAAATAACTAAGAAAGTCAAAACGTACGTAATATGCCACAAACTAAAAATTAATTTGTGTTATATCCGTAACTACAAAAATTCACCATTTTTTTGTTCCCTTTCGATAACTTTCACTGCATTATTGTGGTAATGCTATTTTATATACATTAATTGCTAGTTGTTTCGTTTAATAATAATACATTTTTATTAGAAATCATGGATTAACAGGCTAATGTCCGAGACATTAATGTCACTTTATGGGAAAACAAGAATTATAAATATAAATGATGTTTTTATGTTCAATTTACTAGTTTTTATTGTAAAATAAGTAGCAACAGCTGCAACGGCACCACGTCGATATTGATAAAATTGTCTCCAATCTCTCGCCATTTGCACTCAATTTTTGCACGCGCATTCAAGTCAAAATGTAAAACGAATAAAGTAGATACCATGTACGTATGTTATATCTATTGTGACAATAAGGATTTATTTTCAGTTCGCAGCTTAATAATCTTTCACTTTTTTATAATAAGTATATTTTCAATAATTGTCGTCTACATTTGAATATTCTCAAGATGCCGCCGCGGGCGTTGTTTTTATTGTCTTACATAAATACGTAAGTATAGTAGCTAACCTGTGTTATTTATCTTATACCATTGCCCTATCAATGTTTATAAAACCTTGAGAATATCCAGTTTCTTAGCATTAAAAACAAACTCGTGCCTATTGCCCGCACCGGGAACCATTTTGAATTTTTACAAAATAAACCACACCAGTTTCTCCTACAGTCTTAGTAGAAGTACATAAGGAGGTATGAGTTTAGTAACATCACTTAGGTACGTACCTTGTCAACAGTTAAAGTTGTGACATAGGTAACATCACTTTGCCAAAACTTATTATTTTCATCACATGAGATTGATTACGTTCTAAGAACATCACACACGTCGTTTAAGCTATTGAACTGACGCTGTCTACTAAATTCCAACTAACTATCTACAAGTTAGTTGGAAAGGCCTATCTATGTATTCAAAATCATGGAATTCGATATTGCTCTTCTGTGTGTCGGTAATGGGGTGAAATCCAACGCTCACACAAGTACACATTCCCTCTAACGCACTTATGATTATTTCATGTTTTGTCGCTGCCTCCGTGGCGTCGCGTTATTATTACCCGCACGCTGGCTGGGTGCGATCCGCGCGCGCGCTGGGGCCAGGGGCCGGGGGAGCGGGGGAAAGAGGCCGGGGGCTGCGCG